ATGAAGTCTTCCATCATCCTCCTGCGATGCTCCGCTTCGTGTCCTCTTCCCGTAGTGTGGGCCCTCTCGCTGTACCAAAGTGGCGAGTGCGCGTTGCTGTCAACTCCGATGACAACGCGCTTCCCTTTTAACTGGTCAAGTACGGTCTCTAGATGTTGCAGATGATGGTCAATGTTGTCACTATATTTAAAATATGCGGAGACGACGTAGAGACCGTTCTTCTCCACATGGCATACCACGCAATAGGGGGTAATCAGGGAAGACAAACTTACATCTGCTCGATGCTAGTGCTAGAAGTAGCACTCGCATTTCCCTTAGCGACATTCTTTATAGTGGGTAAAATTTACAGGGCAACTTATTTAATATAATAGTGAATTTTCTTTTGTTTCGTATTGCATTATCCAATGATATTCGTCAAATGTTTCTCTGTATTAGAGTCCGTGAATGCGACCGTCGATGCCAACGCATTTTATATCCCTTTGACCGAAAGGAGGCTCCTTTGGGTCAAACTAAAACTAAACGTGTTTGAATTTAACCGCGTTTGTTTTAGTTTAAAGTTGAGCCCATTTCGTGTGCTGTGCACGGTGAAGCAGCTCGCTGCTGATGAGGGTCCCTCTTACCCTAAAGCTAGGAAGGCAATTGAGAGTGGTGTGTTTATGGACGATTTCATATACTCGGTCGATAACGTAGAGGAAGCCATCTCAACTATTGCCGAACACACCGCCGAATTTATAAAACTCATGAAAGCAGGTCAATTCAATCTCATCAAGTGGACGTGTACTTCGCGTACTATTTTGAATATAATTCCACTATCAAACCATCTTTCGGGTGTAAAAGAATTCGACGATTCTGATACACACAAGGCATATATATAGACGGTTTGTGCTGGTCATCTGAGTCAGACGTGTCTAGGCTTAAGGCAAAAACACCCGCTGAGACCTGCACAAAACGCACGATATTGTCATGTGTTGCTTGATTGTGGGTTTTGTAGCACCTGTGGTGTTGTACGCTCAGCTTTTGACTAAGCCTTTGATTGTGTGAATGTGATTGGAGTTACTCACCGCTTGATAACATTATTCGTTCGTGGCTACGGTTTAGGGAGGAACTCTTTTTACTAAGTGAAATTAAAATACCACGTCATGTAAACATCGGTAAGGATAGGGTCGTCACTATCGTTAGGTTAGGGGGAGTTGTATATTTTCACGTCTAGAGTTATGGTGACAATTCTCCTCCTCGTAACGTTGTATCTCTCGCGTGCCTTGAGTTTTGCGCAATTTTGGTTCTTCCCAAGCTTATCACCGCTGTTATTAATTCATATAATTGTTGAATTCACATCGATAAAATATAATAATAATATATTTTCCGACTCAACAGTCGCTTTATGTTGGGTTCATTTCCCCCCCATCGTAGAGATACTTGATGTGCCTTGACTTGACTTGACTTGAGTGGCCAAGATCCAAGACAAGTTAGGATCGCAAAATTTCTATCATGTGCCTGGTACAGAAAATCCTGTTGATGGTTTATCGCGTGGACTTACTCCTGTATAAATTATAAATCACCCGTTTTAGTTTCAAGGACCTTCTTGAATTCAGTAAGAACCCCTGCAGTGGCCCATAGCTGATTTTGACCCTTCGTCAGTATCCCAATCCTCGGAAGAGAAAAGGCACTCTCTGTTTGTGAGTACTTCGAGTGATGTTTCTCCAATCATTGGTTTAGCGAGTCGGTTATCTTCCTGGTCGAAATTACTGCGTAGCGTAATTTACGTTTGCCGATTTGCACAAATTTTGCCGCGATGTCCGTATATCACTGCGGCCAACTATAGTTATGCGGAATTATTAATATTTCGTGAGCTTCAACGTTTGCACTTTGCTAATGAAATTGCAAAGTTGTAGTCAGGCAAAGTTTGTAGTCGCACTTTTCAACGCCTAAAACTCATATTTAAGTTTCGATCAACGATATCCTATAGTTTTACCGCGTAAAGATCATATTTTGAATTTATTAGTTGATTATCACAATAAATTGAATTGAATTTGAATTTCATATATTTAATTCGCAATCGGGTGCACAGATGTTTTTTTTAATAGAAGAGGGGGCAAACGAGTATGCGGCTCACCTGATGTTAAGTGATTACCGCCGCCCATGATCAACCGCAACACCAGGGGAATTGCAGGTGCGTTGCCAGCCCTTTAGAAAGGAGTACGCTCTTTTCTTGAAGGTCCCCAGGTTGTATCGGTCCGGAAAAATCGCTGGTGGTAAACTATTCCACAGAGAGGTTGTACGCGGAAGAAAACTCCTCTTGAAACGTACAGTGGTGGAGGTAACGTACTTGAAACGTACAGGTGGTCAGTGGTAAAATGGCTAAAATCGTATTTAAAGGACCGAGCGTTTTTTGTGGTGGTGAATGGATATCAGTCAGGCTTAAAAAATATTAATTCTGGTGTGCCCCAAGGGTCTCACCTTGGCCGGATTTTGTTTGGGGTGTTCGTAAATGAAATTCCAGAATTGATGAAATGGTCTCGTGTGTACTTGTATGCGGATGACTTAAAAATTTGCAAGACGATTGTGGAAGAGAACGATTCAATAAAGCTACAGAACGATTTTGATCAACTGATTAAATGGTGCATAGTAAATTGTATGGACTTAAACATTAGTAAATGTTTCTATGTGCAATATGCGAGAAAAAGTAACACTATCGACTATAGCTATCACATTGGATGTAATAAAATACAGCAGTTAGACGAAATTAGGGACCTCGGGGTAATATTTGATAAAAAATTTACTTTCGTACCGCACATTGAAAACATTACTAAACGTGCATCTAGAATGTTGGGTTTTGTCATAAGATATATCAAAGTCTTTCGAAATGCTAAAATTAAAATTCTTTTATTTAACAGTTTGGTAAGAAGTATATTAGAGTACAGTGCTGTAGTCTGGAGACCTCATTACGCTACACATTCACTGAGAATCGAGGGGATCCAAAAAAGATTTATAAGACATTTGTCATACGCAAGAGGATTTGGAAGTAATAAGAAGAGTGTATCATATGAAAATAATTTGATCAATTTCAAAATGATTTCTCTTGAAAACCGCAGGGATATTATTGATTTGATTTTTGCTTCTAAAATTATTAGTGGTGTTATTGAGTGTCCTGAAATTTTAAGTAAATTTAATATATGTGTTCCCTTTAGTTACCCGCGTAAGATTGACACCATTGACTAGACCATATAGAAGAACAGTACTTGGCTCTAATTCCCCAATTGTTAGATTGAGTAAACTTGTTAACAAATTTAGAGATAAAATTGATGTATTTTTCGACCCACCTAACAAGCTCCGTCGCACCTTAAGAGACCATCTTTTGTAACATTCTATAAAATATGTTCTTTCCTTTTCGCTTCTATATATTTTTATTTGTATTTAGTTATAATTTCTTTTAATTTTTAATTCTTTCTTTATCCTAGTAATAGAGGTACACAGTGCTGAGAAAGTTATTTGCATGTTGTATCCGCCTGTAATTTTTTGTACATTTTAGTTCTTATCGCTTCATTGTATTTAAATAGCATGTAAGGAATGATACAAATGTTGGTGGATCAATAAAAAATAAAAAAAAATAAAAAAGGCCAAATTGGCCTCTAAAAAGCGTTGGCGTGCTCAGCAGAGCGGGACAGTATTTCATGTCGGCACACCGCCTGCAACTTTACAAGGCGCAAGTTCGGCCGCACATGGAATACTGTTCCCATCTCTGGGTTGGGGCTCCCCAGTACCAGCTCCTTCCACTTGACCGCATCCAGCGCAGAGCGGCTCGAATCGTCGACGACCGAGTGCTTTCTGATCGGCTCGATTCACTGGCACTGCGAAAAGATGTTGCATCTCTTTGCATTTTATTTCGCATATACCATGGAGAGTGCTCTGAGGAATTGTTCGGATTAATCCCAGCCGCCAAATTTCGTGAACGCACTAAGCGGCAAACGTCCCGATACCATCCACACCATCTGGATGCTTGGCGGTCAACCACTGTACGTTTTACGTTTACTGTTAAGTTTTCTTCCGCGTACAACCTCTCTGTGGAATAGTTTACCACCAGCGATTTTTCCGGACCGATACAACCTGGGGACCTTCAAGAAAAGAGCGTACTCCTTTCTAAAGAGAGAGTCAAACATCAATTCCTTAATATTATAATAACCCTTTTATACAGTCTTTGTTTATTAGAGTTTTTGAACTTAGCGGAGGATAAATATACGAAATATTGTCAGGTATTTTGTTGTAAGATTATACATCGCCCCAAGAATGAATTGCTGATTCTATGGATCCGAGTAACTGGCACTAATATCTGCTTGTGTTTGTTTCTAGTATTTATATATAGTCCTCCCCATTGATTTGTATGACGGCGCTCCTAGGAACTATGGATTTTGCCTATCATGTGCTCTTATATGGATCAAACTTGGCCTTAAATACCCTTTGGCACGTATGATAGTAGAGTTGGCCAGACGAGTTGTAAGTATACGCGTAGGAGGGTTTACAATTGGCGTTTTGAGGCAGCTTTCTTCAAAAGATTTCATTCTTTCAAAGATGGTAGATCGCCAAGATGACCTTTTTGCAGCAAGTTCCTCCCAACACTCGGGTTTATACTGCAAGCATTCAGGTGTCTTTTGAAAACGTTCTTACAGCGCAGATGCTGACCACCATGATTTTGCTTACGCAAAACCTCAGAATTAGGAAAAAGGTTCCACCACTTGATCTTTAGGATAGATCTTAGACATCTTAGGTTATAAGTGTCAAGTTTTTTATATCTGTTTTCTAAAGGAACCATGTGTCTGCTACGCTAATCTTCGTTTCTAGCTTGAGATCACGGGACCTCCAGACACGTTCAGTGAGTCCCCTGAAATTGGCAGCGGCATTAGCAATCCGAAGCCAAAGTATTGTCAGGCCAGATATTGCTACCAAGGTATTTGAAGTGTGAGACCTTCTCTAGTAGTTTCCCGTCTAAATTCAGTACAGTTCGATCAGCTGTACTTCCTTTTGGTGGTTGTTTGATGATGTGAGTCTTGGAAGCACTCGTAAACGCTTCCAAGACTCACATCATCTGGTCGTAACCAGACCAAGTTGTTGACAAGATCGATGAAACAATCAACATAACTTTGAAGTTGCGACATGCTATCTGACGTGAGGGACACGTCGTCAGCATAAACAATCTCCAATTTGGAGATCTTTTGAACTTTCGATTTCGCTTTGAACTCTGAGATATCAAACACACTTTTCTCAGTCCTTACGTTAAGCTGGTTTTGATTGCTACAACACTTCAGTATGTCCCTTACAACAACTGCAAAATATATGGCAAAGAGTGTTGGTGCCATAACGCATACTTGCCTTACTCCACATGAAATTTGGATATCCTCAGAAAAATCGTTTTAGTGCTGAGCCTTCGCTTTCATGCTAACATGAAAATTGGCGAATAAGGTTGATGAACTTTTTTGGATATACAATTTTTTTTAAAGAACAAGCCAAAGTGCCTCACGTGAAACTCTATCAAAGACTTTGTCCAAATGGACAAAGCACATGTAGAAGGGCCGATATTCGAGGCTTTTTTCCTGGAGTTGCCTAATAACAGAAGTAACGTCAATGGTTCCTTTGCATGGTCACACCACATTGGCTCTCTGTGAGGTATTGTTCAGCTAGCTCGCTAAGGCAGGTATTAATGATGTGCGCGAGAATCTTACCGGCGCTGGATCGAAGTGATATTCCTCGGTAAGAGCAGCAATCGGATACACCTCCCTTTCCTTTGTACAGCTTACTAATAACTGCATCCCTCCAGTCTTGAGGTATTTTTCCACTGTTCCACATTTTTAGAACAAGATAGTTATGGTTACACCAGCACCACCCATATATAAAGCGTCCATCAGCATAAATACATAAACGCTGAGTATGTAGTAATTTAAGTAGACTGTAAGCATAGGATTAGGGATTGTAAAAGACAGTGCACAGAATAAACTCACATCTCTCTCTGTGAACACGTAGTTTTTAATAAGTTTAAAAAAGCTCTCGGCAGCTCCCGCATATTGACTGGTGCAGCCGGTAGGATCACCGGAAAAGCTGTGCCACCGTTCGTGAATATCGCGTATACCCATTTTCACGCATCGTGATCGTGATCCAGCGAACCAAAACAAATTCGTCGAGAATAAGGAGCCGTGAAGCTGATGATGGGCACTGCGGGCCGGTGAGTACGACTCTTCACCTCCTTCATATCCCTTAGTATACTTGGAATTAGACATTTTCCATTTTGACTGTTATTTTGGTTTCAAATACTAATCTTATAAAGTATTAAGTGCAATAAGTAACTATTTCTTAAACAAATATTAAAATAATATTATTTTAATTGTAATACAATCAATCAATCAAGTTATAGAGTATATTATATTAAGTATTATACAATATATTAAGTTCTTATTGCGTCTCCACGTCTTTGTTAATTTAAAAATTACTCGACACGTTAATACATAATAGATTAGAACTGGTAGAGTTATAATAAATATATTTTTTATTTTTTTTTGTGTAGAATCAGTGAATAAATTATTAAAATTGCGGAAATTAAACTTATTCCTAATGAATTAATTAAAATAATACCAATATTTAGCGGCGATAAACGCCATTTAAATTTATTTTTGCATAAATGTGAATATATAATAAGTAACTTTAAATCATCCGATGTGCAAAATGAATATATAATGCAAATCATTACTAGTCGTCTGACGGGCGAGGCTCCGTCGCTTATTAGTGAACGGGAAGATATAGAGACGTGGGCCGAATTCAAGGAATTGTTTTTAACTCACTTCGGTGACCCACGTAGCGAGGAATGTTTAGCCATAGAATTAGAAACATTGAAGAAAGACCAAAATGAAAATTATGTAGATTTTTGTGGTCGTATACAATCCGTTAAATCAGTGCTATTATTGAAGGTTAATTAAATTGGTGATAAAAACCTAAAAATAAGTAAAACTTCTATTTATAATAACACTGCTCTGCAGGTTTTCTTATATAATTTACCCGAAAATATAGTGCGCATTGTTAGGTTGAAAACACCCAGTACATTAGAAGAAGCACTAAGTATAGTTCTAAAAGAAGTAAACTTCTATGACCAATATCAGAAGCGTAGTAAAATGTTACAGTCTAGCCATCGTCTAACGTCTAAGCCACAGTCTAGTAGTACACTAGTGTAACAACCTTCGTTTAAGTTCGCAATGTCAACGCAGCCTACAAGTTTTAGACCAATGTTAGCACTTTTGTTAGAATTTCGGAACACCACCTCAATTTAAGTTTGATATTCCCCATAATAGACAAATGAGGATTCCGTTACCACAAAATAAGCCTCTACAGCAAATGAGTTTCCCTAAGCCTGATCACCTACCTCAGTTTGGATACCGACCTAATTTTGGATACCGACCAAACTTTGGATTTATACCCCCGGGATATAGCTCCATGCAACCAATGTTACCCCAACAGTTTGGTAATTCTGAGCGTTTTAATTATCTTAATAATAATAATGAGCATAATAAGCCGGTTTCTAATGATACTGATGTTTCTATGAGAACTGCCCCTCCAAAGCCTTTTCAACCAGGTTTCCGCCTAAATGAATTAGAAATTTATCCATAAAACTATCCCTACGAATTTCTTCAAAATTACATGTATGAGGAAACATACAACAATTATTATGAAGATGAATCCATACAAGAAAATTCTATGATAAAGGCCGACTAAAATAATGATTCAGAGGATAATGACGTGTCTGCACAGACTGAAAATTTTCAAGTAAAAACCTCCGAAACCACCTGAAATAATAGAATTGAATTGCGACATAAATCTAAAACTACCATACATATACATACCGAAAATAATAGCTATTTTATGATAGACACAGGAAGTACCCGTTCTTTTAAGTCCCGATAAAGCATATCAATACTACCGTAATTATATAACAAATGAACCCTTTGAAGTTATAAGCACTCATGCATCTAGCAAGCACAATCAAGTAATTAAAATTCCGCTATTTTCTATATTTCAAAGTAATGACGAACTTTAATTTTATCTTTATAATGTTGATTCACGTTATGATGGGTTAATTGGGAATGATTTATTAAAGCAGTTGGAAGCTGTAATAGATTTAAAGAAACAAGTACTTACCACAAATTCTTCTAGAATACATATAATACACAATAGCTTAGAATATGTTGTAATACTTCCATCTCGTTCTGAAGTTAGAGCAAAATTACCTGCCAACATGTTTTTTATGGCGAAGAAATATTAAATTATACCCGATTCTGTGATGTAGTGCGCATGCTTTCTGCATTGGTTAAATGTGAGAATGGCTATGCCACTACAATTACACAAAATATGGATATATAATGCAAATCATTACTCCAGCCATCATTTGGGCTGTAAAGTATTTTAGGCCCTACTTGTACGGACAAAAATTTCAAATTTATACAGATTATAGATCCCTTGCTTTACTCTATTCCCTTAAAGAGCCTAACAGCAAACTAACAGGCTGGCGTTTGCGTCTTCAAGAATACGATTTTACAATAGTCTATAAAAACGGCAAACAAAATACCAATGCTGATGCCTTGTCTCGCATAAAACTTACGAACGGACGAGGCATCAATGGATGTTAATGTGGATGACGATGACATACAAAAAGTAATACGCCAACTGAAAGAACTTGAAAAATACAGACCTAAGCCTAAACAGTGATAATTTCAGACTCAGGCTCGAGTGTGACGGATCATATAGAATTGTTCGAAGAAAGTTACCCTGTACCATTTGTAACTAATAGTAGTAGAACAGACACAATACACTCAAATATTGAACCTGAGTCAACAGCAATCCCAATTTTGAGCGAGGCACTAGATACCAAACCAATTCAGATTCTAGCGTTTTCTTGGTTCCAAAATAAACTATAAGTCTGAAATGTATCTAGAGAAAAACAAAAAGTACTAGAGGTATTTCTCCCACTAGAAAACGAAGAATTAATAAAACAATTTTTAAAAGAATATATTAAATTTAAGAGTCGATACTTTATTTATTTCGAGAAAGCTGATCATAGGAAATTATTTGCGAAAGTTATTATAGAACTCTTTAAGAAAGATGCAGTACAAATCTTTGAATGTACACAACGCGAATTATATGTGGAGGATGAAAAAGAACAAAAAACTGTCATTCTCAAACACCATGAAGGAAAAATATATATCCACAATATCCACGAAGTCTTATATTTATCGACAAGACGGAAATACGTATTAATGATGCCAAGACCGATCGAGTGATGTTGGCACACAGCGACTATTGACGTGAACGGGCAAGAGAACGAGACAAGATCGTTTTTTTTGGGACTTTAATAGTCCCAAAAAAAAAAAAAAACGATCTTGTCATGTTTCTGAACACCTTCAAGAGTTTGACGAAGTTGTTGGTAAAATGCCTCCTTATCCTCATCCGGTAACGATAGAGTTGGCACATAAGCACTTATTAGATGGACGTACGTTCTATATGCATAGGCAAACGCAGAGTCATAAGCCGGTCATTAATGCCCTTCGGTACTTCATTTAAATCATTAGCCAAACTATTGCAAATAGCAAAGCCCTTTCTTTTTTTGAACATGGGGAAATGCCTGCGCATACCCACCTCGTGGGGGCAAGGACGGGTTATGTTGGACTCGCAACGACTAAAACTCCATGATGTTCCACCTTCGTCGCATATTGGCAGGGCCACGGGAACGGTTTCGCACGCATCCGCGGCCTCACCAGCGCCGGTCGCCACGGCTACTAAGCTCCTCCACCACGACAAGGTGAGAACCCGTTCGGGGGGGGGGGAGAGCTAATAGAAAAACCTTCACCGTTACTTTACTCTCACCTGCTGGATGTCCGCACCAGTAATATGTGTAGCCGCCAAGTTGTTCACAAAGCTCTCCGCATCCGCTCAGGTGGGTCTCGCTAATTGCAGCTATATCAACTTTATATCTACACAACTCTCTTGCGACGAGAGCAGTTTTCTCTCTGAACATAAATTGCGATCACTGTCCAGTAAAGTTCGTACGTTCCATGTGGCTATGCAAAGTTGTTTGGTTCTTATTATTTTTTGTTTGTTTTTCTGTAGTTTTCGACCGCATTATTCGATGTCCAAGCGCCTGCGGCTAGGCACTTAGATGGTGGATGAGACGGACTAGCTTAGGTAACCTTTTCTAAGCACCTCTTCTATGCAGGGGAAAGCAGAGCGATCCTTAATAGGGCTGCTTTGTCACCGGTCGTGCTGCTGGACCCAGAAAACCGATTCATTCGACTCCGGGAGCGACCACTCTCTCTTGGCCGCCTAAGTACAGGGTATCAGCTAAAGCCTCGATACATCGACACCTTAGCCCCACTGCCTTCACCCCATCGCCGCAGGACTTTACGAAGCTTAAAATCCGAGAAGGAGATAGCTAGGGTCACCTGCGCGTGAACTTACACTTCGGTCATCCCTACTTTTTTGACCCAATGGGCCGGTAAACCAGCACGATCGGCAGAGGATGGGATACAGCGAAAAGGTTATAAGTCACTACAAGAATTCTGACAAATGCCCTTAAAGCTTTTCGGATTATCCTGCTACATCGATAGTTCAATTCACGTGTCATATAGATGTAGACTTTTTGTTTGCGGGAATCATACGATAACTCATCTACAGATGTTCGTAGATGCAGTACCCTTCTCTAGGTTTAACCCACTGACGTGGTTGCCCGGAGTGTGGCTGCTGTGACTACAGCTTCTTGGAGACATTAGAGAAGAGATTTCGGAGGTTAAAATGCATGAGAATACCACCGC